TATAATCAGTGTCATCACAATGATGGGGGCTTATTTCAACATTGGGTTTGTCGCACAATGAAGTTGTATCAGAGCCAAGCAATGTACCATGTAAGAAATCTCTTTCTTTTCAGTTTCCCAAACTCATATATAGCACAAAGACTGCTGGAAAGTGTACCATGATAGTTTTGCCATGTTGGGCGGCTGTTTCCAATAAGCAAAGTCTGCCTCAGCTGCTTTGCTGGGGCCCTTCCATGGCTGCCAGAATGAGAAAGGGTTATGTGAGGCCTGCAGGAAAAGGGAATGGTGAAGAACAATAGTATATCCAGAGATTTAAATCCAACTCCCTTGGATAAAATGTTATCAACATTAACCATGTGGCCAGTAGATGAGGAATGATGGTCATAGGAATGCTGTTCTTTATCATTTGATTGATTGATCGATACACAAATTTCTTTCAGTTTAGCTTTCTTAGGTTCCGAATCTGATATAGGTTGCAATTGTACTATTTATCTCTTCATGGAAAGGGCGTGCAATTTTCTTACCGCCTGAATGTGCTCCTCCGGCTCCTATGGATCCCAATCTCTACAGTGCCGGTAAGTTCGTTCAGTTTACAGTTAACCTTTAGTATGTTTCTGACCTTATTACAACGTCATTAAGAGTGGTTCTTATTCACTTGTAGAGTTAGAGACAATGCAAGCTGAACTAAAAAAATTAACGTCAAACTTGGTTAGAGTTGCACGAAAGAGACGGCGTGCTATTCTTACAACTAAGCGATTACGTACCACCACCCGGAATGAAAACACACGTATGAGTTAACTTTTGATTGATTTTGTATTTTTCCTACTCTGCCTAAGCTTCGATCATATAGTTTATCACTGCAAGTATCGAGACATTTATAAAGATAAATATCCATTAACATTTTCAGTTTTAGCCTTACAAGCCGAGTTCGCAAAACTTCATACTGCACGCAATAGAACATCGAGACGAATTCATCTCCATAAAAAACGAAATGGGGGAGCGATTCTTCCGGGAGCAAGCTGGTATGAATTATGTTTTCCTACTTTTCCGGCTTCAATTGTTAGGAAGGGGGTGGCCGATACGTTTATAATGTAGAAACATTTGATGCATTGAATGTGAAATGAAAAGAGTCATGTATAGATCTTTTTCTTGAGATGGATAGCAAGTTTGCTTCCCTATCTAGCTATTCTAATTGTACTCAACAAAACCTTTGTTGGGCTAATGAAGTGACCTACTAATAATTTGGGTATGATATGTGTTCCTTATGTATATAAATATATGTTGCACTTCGTGTGAAGTAGACATGGTCATGTTTGGATCCTTTTTTTAGTTAGTTGACCACCATATATAGCACAAGAATCAGAGACTTGAACCCCTTACCCCAAAATCATTGAAGACTCACCCAACTACCCTTTTACGTGAGATTGTCTAAAAATGATGGCATCTTGATTACATAGTAGGATTTAGCTACTGATAATGTCAAATGGAGTTAATTTCTTGCTTCATTTGAACTCCTCAAACTTATGCTATGGAAAATTTGTGTTGCCCAAAATTGTGTTGCTGGGCTAATGGAGTGTGTTTGTTCTAATTTGGAATGGTTTGTCTTGCTTCACAAGTGTGATTTTAATTACAGATTATGTGACCACATAAAGTCTACTAACAGTTGTTTAGTTTTGTTCCTACAGGATATCCATCTGTCGAAGTATTTATGGTGGGTGCACCGCCGTGTGTCTGCACATTTTGTGGGGCTAGAATGTGGTATTTGGATAGCGCAACTTCTACACGATCTTCGACAACTTTGTTGTTTTCACTATGCTGTAAACAAGGAAGGGTTAGGCTTCCACCCCACAGGGACCCTCCGACATTTCTGAAAGATTTGCTTGAGGGGAGTACAACCATTGGTCGTAATTTTCGTCAATTTATTCGCGACTATAATGGATTTTTTTTTGTTTCACGTCGCTCGGTTGCAAGGCGGATCATTCTATAAAAAATGGTGCTGGTGTCTATGTTTATTCAATTGGTGGACATATATCATTGGATTGGTGGTTTACTTCCTCCTGAAGGTACATCTCCCAAATTTGCACAACTATATATCTATGACACGATGAATGAGACAAGAAACCGCCTGGATTTCTATAATCAAGATAGAGAAGCCAATCCTTTACATGATTACGTTGTCGAAGGATTGCAGGCAATGTTAGATGAAAACAATATTTTGGTTCAGACATTCTGCAGTGCAAGGGATAGATTAAATGAAGGGGTAATACAACAAGCTCACATGCAGTTGCTTGCACGGCGAGCAGGTGATGGGCGAGAGTACGATTTACCATCGGCTGATGAAATTGTTGCCTTAATTGTCGATGAAGATGCAGAAGAAATGTTTGGGCATGATATTATTGTTCAACATCGTACGATGGAAATGGAACAAATTTCTATTATCATCCAAGCTTGATGGCTTTACAATATCCTTTTTTGTTCCCATATGGGGAGGATGGGTGGCATCCAGAGTTATTCTATTATGATGGCGAATCCGTTGAAGGGGATGATGAGGATTTACTAGGACAACGCAATATGAGTCAATGTGAATACTACAGCTATGTACTTTAGACGAGATTGGAGCAGTCTAATTCATTTTTGTTGGCTGGAAAATTGTTGCGGCAGTATATGGTCAATGCTTATGCGTTGGTCGAGTCAGAAAGACTCGATTGGATTCGCAATAATCAGGCAACATTTTGTGCTCATTCTTTTCAAGGACTATTAGACTCATTTATGAGAGGTGATACCAATTTGGAATTGTGTGGAAAACATGTTATTTTGGCTGCATCACATGCGGGTAGCCCACGCTACAAGTATGAGAATTTCCAAGATGCCATGGCAATTTTTCGTGTGTTCGGTTATCTGGATTTGTTCATAACATTCACATGCAATGCTAACTGGCCCAAAATTCAGTTAATGAGTGATTTGTTGGCTTTGCAAGGTGGTAAGGATCCTAATCATGCCGATGCTATTACTCGGGTGTACAAGATGAAGTTGAATAAGTTGATGTATGAAATTAAAGATCAACATATTTTTGGGAAGACATGTGAACGCAAGTCGGAATACATAGTCATTGGCAAATTAACGGTTAGAGTTTATGGTCTTTTTTTTGCTAATGATGTTTAGCTTTTTCCTGAACACATGTGAGGGCTCTGGAGTTTCAGAAACGAGGCCTCCACCATGCCCATATTCTGGTATTCTTAGCACCGAAAGACAAATTTTGTGGGACCACAAAAATTGATTCAATCATCTCAGCCGAAATTCCCCATCCTGCTATTGATCTGGAAGGGTATGAGGCTGTCTGTAACTTTATGTTATATGGACCCGGTGGAGCTGTGGGACCCAAGTCGCCCTGCATGAAAAAATGAGAATGTTCGAAGCACTTTCCTAAACAATTTTGCAGTCAGACAACTATAGATGAGAATGGATTTGCAAAATATCGGTGACGTCAGAACAACCGATGTGTAACCGTCAAAGGTGTGGCTTTGGATAATCGATTTGTGGTGTCGTACAATCGGTATTTATTATTGCGCTTCCAAGCTCACATAAATGTGGAATTTTGAAATAAGTCAAGGTATGTCGTTTTGTTTTGGTTTAGATGGCTTAGTAGTATTTTCAAACTTAACAATTGAAATGCCATGTTTGATTTAAATGTCAATAGACTTCATTGACATCGTTGTATATTTAGGTTTATTCTAGGCAGAGAATAATAATTATATCTTCAACTACATACATAAACGCACAAAGAAGGGTCACAGGTTAGTTGCTTAGTGAGACTGTAAAAACTTGAACTATTGTGGATCATGTGAAAAATGGTTGGGTGGGTGATATTGATGGGAAATTGTTTACCTTTGGGGTCATGACAAAGGCGATTGTCATAGAATACTTGCAGACAATTCTATCCACTAAGAGAATGGTTGCAATGGCGCCCGAGCATTCTTTGAAAAATGAAAGGAAAATTTTTGGTGAAAGAGAAGCTCTCTTAAGTCTATGCCTTACATGGTGGTTTATTTTACCTACTACAGTTGGAAAATATCTTCTGAATTATGGTCAGAAAATGATGCCACCTTTAGACTGAGGTTAGGATCATGTCTCGAAAATGTTAGGGCAGGAATAGCAGACAACTTTGGTTAAGCAAAATCCAAGAATGCCCACGTTAATACATTTACTTGCTGATGATTGTAGAAATACAAAGTTCTTATGATAACATGGTATATGCTTTTGAACTTCTTCATTTATCCAGTCGTACAATTTGTGCAAGCTTATTAAGTGTGATTATCCAATTAATTTATGTTGTCCAGGGCCATTAAATATTTGTTCAAATATATTAACAAACCCGAGGATCGAGCAATGGCGACGATTCAGGCTAATCAAGCGACAAATGGACAAGGTAATGATGGAGCTTCTTCGGCTGCTATTGTTTGAATAGATGAGATCAAGGCATTCATGGATTGTCGTTACATAACGGCAGGTGAAGCATGTTGGCGACTATTTAAATTTGATCTTTATAATCAGTCTCCATTAGTTAAGCGGCTCTCATTTCATTTGCCTGGGGAAAACAAAGTGTATTCTACTCAGAGATCGAATATGCAGTCATTGATTCAGTCGCAAACCTCGCTATTGTTAGGATGGATGGAAACTAACCGTACTTCTACTGCTGCCCGGAGATATACATTTGTTGAATTTCCACAACATTACACATGGAATAAGAAATTAAAAAAGTGGCAGATACGGAAGCAGAGACTGTGTATTGGCAGACTTTATTATTGTTATCCCTCGGCCAAGGATAGGTATTACCTACGTTTGTTACTTCATGTGGTCAGAGGATGTCGTAGTTATGAGGAGATACGTACCGTCAATGGGGTAGTACATGATACTTTCAAGGAGGCATGTTATGATCTGGGCATATTAGTTGTGGATGATGAGTAGACTGATTGCATTAAGGAAGTTTCTTTTTGGGTATCCGGTTCTAAAATGAGAAATTTGTTCGTTACCATTCTTATACATAATCAGGTACCGGATGTAAAGACACTATGGGAGGAGAACTGGGAACTGTTGAGTGAGGATCTTATCATTCGTCAGCATAGAGCATTGAATTTACCGAACTTGCAATTATGTCCAGATCAACTCAAGGAATTGTGTCTTATTGAGATAGAGAAATTATTTCAGAAGCATTATAAATCTCTATCTGATTTTCCAGGTTAGTCCATTATATTTATGATAAATTATTATATAGAATTTCATCACTGCATATGTCATCATGATTTATTCTGAACTGTTCCGACTCATCTTTCTTTCTTCCTCTTTGTTTTCCTAGCATTGTAAGTCCGCTGGTGATTGACATGATGGTAATATATAGTCAAGGTGATGGCCATAAAAAAAAATCTAATAAAATCTAAGGCATAAATTTTCATACCTTGGACAAGCTCTTCACGGAACAGAAGTCATACTGTTGTGGATTGCCTTAATGGCTACATTACATTTGTCAATGGGCGAGCATGTATCTAAATATTGTAGTTTTAAGGTCTCTTCCCATTAACCCACGTTCATAGGGACTGGAATGACGTGGAACCTTGATGCTTTCTGCCCATGATGTGTAATAACTTCACCATTTGGTTGCTTTGCGTCCTGTTTTATATGTGCACTGGTTGGAATTGATCTGCAACATTTGTACCGAATGAATTCTGTCAATTATGAACTTGATGTATCCATCATCGAATTGACTTTAAACCTTTCATTTAGATTAACACTCATTGTATTTCTGCTTCGATTTCAGGGTTACCAGTTCCAATTTCAGTTTCAGGCCACAGTTACAGTAATCGTATATTGCTGATGGAGCTCAATTATGCTGCATCACAACAAAAGGTAGAATTTGATGCTACGTATCCGAGGTTGAATGCCGATCAATGTGCAGCATTTGTGGCAATATTGCAATCTGTCGATTCAGACCAAGGAAAATGTTTCTTCGTTGATGGATATGGAGGGATCGGGAAGACTTTCCTATGGCAGGTTCTTTGCTTGAAATTGCGATCTCAAAAACGGATAGTGTTGTGCGTTGCATCTTCCGGAATCGCAGCCTTGCTAATGAACGGAGGGAGAATAACTCTTTCCCGTTTTTATATACCTATTGACTGTGAGTCTACCTCCACGTGTCACATTGATCAAGGTAGTGAATTAGCTGAACTTCTCCTGCAGACTTCTTTGATTATTTGGGATGAAGCTTGCATGTCCCATAAACATAATATTGAGGTTGTGGATAGGACTCTTCGGGACATATTGCACAACAAGCATCACCACAGTAAAGATAGAACCTTTGGAGGTTTAACTATTGTATTTGGTGGAGACTTTCGCCAAACATTGCCCGTTGTTCTGAAAGGAACACGAAATCATATTCTAAATGCTTCCATTAAGAAATCTTACATCTGGGAGCACCTAACGGTGTTGAAATTGACGCAAAACATGAGATTTTTTGCTCTATGGGAGCGTTTGTATATGAATCTGAGGAGATTTCTGCCTTTAGCTCTTGGATTCTACAGATCATAGATGGCATCAGTTCAAATGTGCTTGGTGAATCAACAATTAGAATTCCAACAGATCTGTGCATTCAGCCTAGAGATACTCCTATTTCTGATGTTGTCAACTCAACCTATTCTGACCTATCAACATGTTATGCCGATTACAAGTACTTGGTTGAACGAGCCATATTGGCCCTGCATCATGAAGCAGTATCAGCGATCAATTCTCATGTTCTGCTGCAGTTTCTTGGTGAGTCCAGATGTTATCTTAGCAGCGACTCCATTGAAGTTGATCCCGGACAGCCAAATATTATGGAGAGTGATTATTCGACAGAGTTTTTGAACTCTTTGAGGGTAGGCAATTTCCCTGATCATGATTTGAAGCTGAAGATTGGATGTCCGGTTATTCTTCTCGGGAATTTGGACCAAAGTATTGGTTTGGTTAATGTAACTAGGTTGGTTGTCACAAAATTGGGGACATGGTTTATTGAGGTTGAAATTCTGACTGGTACCAACATTGGTGAGCGTGTATTCTTACCTAGGATGAAGTTGTCGAAACGGTTCAAGAGCCTCCACTTTACTTTGGTCCGTCGCTAGTCTCCTATTGCTCTATCATTTGCAATGACAATCAACAAAAGCCAAGGTCAAATTCTAAACCATGTAGGTCTGTACTTGCATAAATAGGTGTTTTGTCATGGGCAGTTGTACGTAGCATTATCACGTGTTACGCGAAAGGCAGGAATTCAAATCTATAGCTGCAACACTGATGGAGACCATGTATTGATTATGCAAAATGTTGTCTATAGAGAGATTTTAGAATGATGAAAGTAATTACTTTTTGGAATAATTTTTGTACCCCTGCTGTACTGTTGAAGTTTATATTTCATTTACTCCGTTCTTTGGTTTGTTATACAGGTGGTTCATAATATATCCACAATGGACATTGTAGTTTTTGTCTCATTGCGTCATCGGTAATGTGAAAAATATAACTCTTGGATATGTAGTACATTGTCTGTAGTCCATTCTATTGCAAATGAATGAAGTAGGTCATGGGAATAATGTGTGATTTCTTTCTTATCCATATATATTGTATCTGGAGAATGTGTATACGAAGCAGCTTGCAAGACGATATCGCCTGTTCAAGCCTGAATTTACAAATACATGGTAACTATTTAAGCACTCCGTGCACGACTTTGAGTTTCTATGTGGCTATAAACATGACAGAAGTTTTTGGCTACACAATGCACGTGTACCTACTAATTCCTACTTGCCCCTTTGCCTACCATATCTATTGGAACTCTGTTGCATGTGAAATCTGAACTGGCGAATTGCCCAATGGTCGGAAGTCCATCAACTGGTCCACGAACATGCACTGCATTGTCATCTAATATTTGTAGCACATTTGAATACAATAGATGGTCCTGTGGCCCATTAGCAGGACAAATTCAGGGGGTTCCTAATATCATGCATCTCTAGCAGAGCCTTTCTTGGCAGCCTAAGGAGCTGCCTTCTCTGCTTCAATCTAAGCCATGATAGCATCGATTTCAGCCTCATCAATTTTTCATATCCCCTGGTCTTTTGTCATTAATGCGACTTCAATATTCATTCAACCACTCTCCACAACCTACACAAAGAAATGAAAATTTCAGAATCTTAGAGGCTCATTCACAACACATGTACCGACTGTTTCTCTTACAAAAAGATGACGAATCAAATTCAGTTGGTTTCGACCCGTAGTCGATCAGCAAGAAGCCGGAGACAATTTCGTTTACAATTGATGTCAAAAGCCACACATGACCAGCATCCTATGGGGATAATAAATGCTATTAACCAAGGCTTTTCTAGCTATCATCGGACATAAATCATGTTAAACCGTTGCATACACTATAAAAAATTTGATCTTAGCAGTTCTACAAACTATGAAACAAACTGTTCTGTATGCTATCCAGACATTGATCTTTGTTGGCTCAACAAACCATAATAAAGCTCAATCGGTTCTGCCTAAAATTATCTTAACATCTAAATCCGTTCAAATACGACAAAATATGAGTACATACCTCCAGTGAGGCACGGATTGCAAGCTTGATGGTTTCTTAACCAGAAGTTTCTTTGTGATTCTTCTCCAGAAACTCTCTGATGGAATTGGAGTTACTCCCAGTTGCATTTGCTTCAAGAAGACTCAATTCATAACTTATTTCATATAAGAGGGCAGAACATATTTGATTAAAGAGATAAAGAAGGGGTTTACCGGAATGTCATTTGGTAGAGTGGAGTTGCCACCAAGCAGCCAACTGGTACTTCCTGACACCGGAATGGTTGCGCTATGATGAGTCATCTTCAACGTACACAAAACGAGTAATAATGAGTCGGGACTACATCCTAGCAACCTAAACATGCATACATGATAACCTATTAATAAGTTGGAACTGCAAAGACAATAACATGACGGTATGCATGACTTGCTGAAGGAATTCGTTTCCTAGGGGAAAATGATGGTCAATTCACATAAGCATATCAGTTCATTCCATCTATGATTATGGATTAATCAATGTGCATAATATTGGGCCTATGTGGGTAAAGTTAAGTCCAGTCTCCCATACACAATAAATTTCCTGCGTGTACAAATATTTTGAATTACTTGAGATATTTAATTAGTTATATTCATATATTTAATTTATATATTATGCATAAATAAAAAATTTCCTATTATGAAGCTACATCGTGGTACACGATCTTGCTGGGTTTAATCCCATTACCTCCACTCTTACTGTCAGTTTCCAAACATATCCTACATCTTCCATGAACACTATTTAAAGCCATGCGCAATGAAGAGAGAATCTCACGCCATTTTGAGAAAATTCCTCTACTTCTTTTGGTTTCAAAGCATCCATGGATTTTCTGAGTTTATCCCAACTGAATTTACATCAAGACGACGCCACTGTTCGCATGAGGATCTGCGATTGTGGAAAACAATGAAGCCAGATGGCATTGAGATTCACCAACTCCACATGTTATTTCTAGAAAATGAGGTATTATTGTGTTCATTAGTTTGCAGTGATGACGTTTACTATTTTAGAGTCGACATGACACTATAAAACGATAAACTAAAATTCACTTTCTTTTGTAGGGGACGGAGATGCAGGGATTAGTTGGTACATATTCCAGTGTTTCAGCCCATTCTTCAGGTGGAAAAGATCTACGTACTGCGAAATTTTGTGGTTCGTGGGTATCATGTTACTATAGAACCTCCTACCCTCAGAATCTGCTTTCAAGAGGATACAATGGTTCAAGAAGCCGCAAATGCTCATGACATACCAATCTACAACTTCCGTTTTTTGGCAGCTGAGGATCTTCCTCAAGCTGTCCACAACCATGCTTATCTATCATGTAATTTGATTGAGTCCTTGAATCTTAATTTATAGTTGTTTACCTATTCACTCCCTTTACATTTGTATTTGGGCAGACATAGTTCGACAGGTTGTAGCTGTTGGACCGAAAGAAGCTCCATTCCAAGATGTTGATCTTTTAAGGAGAAAGGCTGTTCACCTCCGATTCATTGAGTGAGTGGTGTAAAGCTTTGTGTTTGAAGATGATTTGCATGTCTTATGGATTTTAGTTGTGCATTCATTAATCTGTTTTTTTCTCAAATTAGTGGTGCTATTGTGGAAATCGTCTTATGGGACGATTTAATAGACGAATTCCAAGCTGTTATTCCTCATCAGCCTCCTTCAGGAACCGTAGTTGTGTTCACCTCGGTGGTAGTTCATACTTTCAATGGTCGTAAGCAATTCTTTTTCTTTGAACTTTCCCTAATATTTTTAAAGTTACTCTTACTGACACCATGTTTTTAAAGTTTATCAGGCAACAGACAAAGAATGGACCAACAATTTCAGGATTCTCTTAGCTTGGCTGAGGGGCAAATCATTTAAGCTTATGATCCAACTGGTGGATTTTAACTTTGCCACAACCGAATGTGATTTGGTCCTTCGCAAGCTTTTCTGGTAGATTATGTTATCGGAAATGCTTATTGGTTTATGTTTCTGTGAGTTTCTTCAAGTTAGTGGGTTTCATGATAGGTGGACATTGGTAGTAGCAAGTGTTTTTCATTTTTCTTTAACTATGACCAGCAAGTGTTTTGTGAATAGCTGGTCATTTTATTTTCTGTTGGTTTCATGTTTTCTATGGTTGAATCATGTCTATGTACGTTTGGTTCCTTAATGTTAATCATTTGAATTTTATTAATTAAGCATTTTATCTATTTATATTCTAGAACACATTATTTTCTTAGTTCACCAAACCACAATACGTAATGAAACCAAGAGAATCTGATACTTACACAACATGTTGATCCATTGGAGGTGGGTCACTGAAGCCGCCGGGAGATAGAAAGGCCAGAGCTTTTACCAACATGTAGGAGAAATCCCAATCCATAATTCACTTTTGTTTTCTCACTAAAATCACAATTCAAAGAATTACCAACAGATGAAAGAACATAATCTCAAAAAGCGAAAGCCATCTAGGAAAGCAGTGAATATGTTCCTTACCCCCCCCCCCAAGACTTCAATTTACCAACACGCAAGACATGGGAATGCTGGTGAATGAAAAGGACAGCTGCTTTTACTGACGGTTGGTATTCAGCTTCCCAAGCTCGCTTACAGAGCAAAGCCTGCAGGATTTTGAAGTTTGAGCCTTCCAATGAGTATTTAGAGAAACCCCTCATTGAGTTCCTTTCAACTTCAAAAGGCATTTATTTGGTTGCTATATCATTATAGCAGTTTTTCTTTATGAATCGGGGACGAATCTACCCCAGAGTGGTAGTTGACAGAGCAAGCAGCTCCTGTTAGCATTTAGTATAACCTTAATCAAATTACCCTCTCAAACCTCTAAATGATAAACCAACACTTATACTCAATCTGCAATCCTTAGTCCTTTGTGATGTTGACCCACTGATATTCAGGTTGTCCGGCTCATTTTGTTGAGTGCAATCAGTTGATGCTGGAACTTCCGATGTTCTAATTCTGACCTCAAGTGAAGATGACAGATGGCCGTCTAAAAAACTTCCATCAACCCCCAAAAGATCATGTTTGTTTTCCTTAATTCCATCATGTCCTTCCTCGGCGGAAGAAACAACAAGCTTATTTTGGACCTCTTGCTCCTCTTTTTTCAAGTATTTGATGTAGTTGACCAAACCATGCATAAATAAAGAATCAAGGAAGCCTCTCACACCTCCGAATGATAACATTCCAAGAAAATAGACAAGGCATTTCTCTAATAGCGCATCCTTAGTGCTCAACGAAAATCAGCAAATGCAAGGCCAAAGAAATGTGATTTCAAAACCGTAACTTTGCACACACTTAACGTCTTCGACACTATATGACAGTGACACCAAATATATGCTGCTCTTTATCAGTTGCTTGACCAGTGCACGACAATCTTTTGAGATTTCCAAAACAAGTGGCGTGCTTAGACAGTCGGTGGATTGGAAAGAGGGAAGGATTGTTGTGAAACAGAATTCATGAGTCATTTCGACAGACTAGGCATTAATAATACGTTCAAATTTGGTAAAGATCTTGCAGTATAAAGACAAGAAGAAGGAA